TTGCGACCCTGACGGGGGAAGCAGGGTTTGTGTTAGGAATACCCCTCTAGCTGGATAAGAATCGATTCGAATCGCCATCTCTCCCGGATAGTGAGAACTTGACTTGAGCAGCGGCAACATAGATTCACTAAATCTACAGATATGGTTAAATGATGATGAGAATTATGATGAGCCATGAAATACCTGATATGGTTATTATTGTTTGTAACTAAATCAAATGGTTGATTAGTACAGGTGCTAATATAGATGGTAGGTAATGGCTAAAAGTTAATGCTAGTACAGGTGAATAATGCTAATGGTTACTCAAGCTTTTATGCAAAAAGGTTGTCCAGCAAGATCCACTGATAAAGCCTTGCATACTCTTTGGTGTCATTTATTTTTGGTTTATGACGGGTAAGTCTAGCTAAGTACATTCCCGTACTCAGGGTTTATTCCCTCTTGTTGCAGATGACCTTCTATATCAGGGCTTCTGCAAGTATTGTCTCCACCCGACGGGTGACGAAGACTAGATCATGGGCACGATCTCTGTTTATCTTATCCAAATGCTTTTGTGGGATGTGATCAGCAAGCTGGTACTTGTATTTGAACTCGGGTGTGTGAGTTAAACTATTTGCTTCCGCTACTTTACAAGACTTGGTTTGTAATAACTATGACTCTGATGCGTTGTAATCTATCTGCAAACTGAACCTAAAATGTTGTAACGTATGAGATGTTATGTTGAATTACTGTGATCTTGGTTGTATGCAAGTTGGTTTGAAATCCTTCGTGGTTTCAGTTGACTACCGGGTTTATATGGGCTCAAGTGCGAGAATTTAATCGTTTCAGCGATTGTCTTTGTACTTGTGCTCTTATAAATTGGTCGGTTCTGTGACAGCGAAGCTCTCTAGGATCCCAAGTGGAAAGGAGCCGTCGATGTTGAATACAAGGCTCTCATGAACAACAAGACTTGGCAACTTGTTCCACCTCCCAACGACAAGAACATTATTGACTGCAAATGGGTGTACAAGGTTAAAAGGAAAGCTGACGGCACCATTGATAGGTACAAAGCTCGTTTGGTTGCTAAAGGTTTTCATCAACGCTATGGGATTGACTACGAAGACACGTTTAGCCCGGTTGTCAAGGCAGCAACCATTCGTCTTATACTATCTATTGTCGTGTCGAGGGGATGGACGCTTCGTCAACTCGATGTGCAAAATGCCTTTTTGCATGGCATATTGGAGGAAGAGGTTTACATGAGACAACCTCCCGGTTATGCAGATTCAAGAAGACCGAAGTCTGTTTGCAAACTTGAAAAGGCACTTTATGGACTTAAACAGGCACCACGAGCTTGGTATGCTAGATTATGTGCAAAGTTGGTGGCTTTGGGATTTGTACCCTCAAAGGCAGACACGTCACTCTTCTATTATAGTAAAGGTGACCACACTATATTTGTTCTTGTATATGTTGATGATATTATAGTGGCAAGTTCCTCACAAAAGGCAACGGATGCATTGCTCAAAGATTTAGAAAAAGAGTTTGCTCTCAAGGATCTTGGAAACCTACACTACTTTCTAGGCATAGAAGTAAACAGGCTCGGTGATGGTCTCAAGCTCTCTCAAGAGCGGTATGTAGCTGATGTGCTACAACGGGCAGGCATGAACAAGTGCAAAGCCATTGATACTCCTCTCTCTTCGACTGAAAAGTTAAGTGTGACAGAAGGAGAACCTCTTGGAGCTGAGGATGCAACAAGATATAGAAGCATAGTTGGGGCACTACAATATCTTACTTTGACCAGACCTGACATCTCATTTTCTGTGAACAAGGTGTGTCAATTCCTTCATGCACCGACCTCTGTTCACTGGAGCGCTGTGAAGCGAATACTTCGGTATATTCAAGGAACTCTCAAGTTGGGAATGAAGATTAGCCGGTCCGGGTCTACAATGGTGAGTGCATTCTCAGATGCTGATTAGGCAGGGTGCCCCGATGACAGAAGGTCCACGGGAGGCTTTGCCGTTTTTCTTGGACCCAATCTAATCTCCTGGTGTGCTAAGAAGCAAGCAACCGTGTCGCGTTCAAGTACAGAGGCAGAGTATAAGTCACTAGCAAATGCTACAGCTGAGGTCATGTGGATTCAGAAATTGCTTGATGAATTGAGAATACCACACCCTCGTGCAGCTAGACTTTGGTGTGACAATATTGGTGCTACCTATCTTTCTGCCAATCCAGTTTTTCATGCGCGCACAAAGCATATAGAAATAGATTTTCATTTTGTGAGAGAAAGAGTAGCACAGAAGCTACTTGATATTCGATGGATACATACTGATGACCAGCTAGCTGATGGGTTTACCAAACCGGTTGCGGCCAAGATTAACAAGTTCAGGTCCAATCTCAACCTAGTGGCTGGTTAAGATTGAGAGGGGATGTTGAAGATAACAATGTCTAGGTACAATGTATAGGCAAGGGTGACGCCGTAGGGGCTCAGGTTGTTGAGCCAAGGCGTATGTGTAACAAATGTGTATGAGGATAGATAGATCTAGCGTGTGAGTTTGTTGTAACAAACACCTGATGTATGTGCCACGCAGGGGCTCTTCCCTGCCTATTTAACATGTACCGAGAGCCCTGAGAAGGGCATCTTGTTCCCCCCATTTTCTTTACAGCCATGGATTCAGGATAAGTGTTGTTTTGTTTGCCTATAGTGTCCAGACGGCGACAATGACACGGGTGAAGTGCCGGTGAAGCTTCCTTCATTTTTCTACCCTAGAAACCTATTTTTGACATGCCTATAGTGTCCAGACGGCGACAACTTCTCGGGCGCCTGTATTTTACAGGTCGAATTCACCGCTGGTTTGCACGTCCGATTCAGAGACTGTGAATTTCTGATTAGAAACCTGAAGGGGTCATAGTCAAAACGTTTTCGAAGAAGCAGCCGGGGCGCATGCAGTAGAGCACAGACATGCGGGTGGAATAAAGTGGTGGATCAAGTCTGATAGCATCATGGATGTTCGGACAGTAACTGAGACCTCCGTGCTTGTCCCTCGACCTACTCTGCAGTTGACTAGGCGCTGGGATAAATAAGCTGAATTCCATAATTGTTTATACGGAACAACGAAAAAACCAGTTTAAGCATCATCTGCTACTGGTACCCATGGCGGCTATTTTTTCTGTTTCATACAAGGCAGCGCTACTCCTTTTTTCTGCTCCTCCGTTCCAAATTATAATTCGTTTGACTTTCTGATCCCAAGTTTGACCGCTTGTCCGTTTTAAATTATAATTCGTTTGATTTTTTGATCTCACATTTGACCGCTTGTCTTATTCAAAAAATTTATACAAACATAATCAAATTTAAGTCATTCTTGAAGAATTTTTGTTAATAAAGCAAGCCACAATAAAAGAAGTGATGTTTAGCACAAATTTTTGAATAAGATGAGTAGTCAAACTTGGGATAAAAAAGTCAAACAAACTATAATTTAGAACGGATTTATTCAAATATCCGCAAGAGCAACTCTACAACTCTAAAAGACTCTTTATATCCTTCGTGTTAGTCGATGGAAATAGAGATTTCGATGAAAAATAGTCTTCCAACAGTTTCTTTAATTACATCTTTAAATATTGTCATTCACCATTCTTGTTTCTCGCTAGCCAAAAATAGAGAACGGAGCTAACTCTTTGAAATACGTACAAGATATATAGAAGCAGTTGGAGGAGGAAAGATATATATACGATAATGATATGCCTCGCGCATCCGGATGGACGGACACTCATTCCCCACGCACTCAGATCCATTCTTTTCTTCTGAAGCACGGAGAGAAACAACCCATATGTGTGACACAGAGAGAAATAGGCCACCTGTGACAAGCTTGATGTCAAAACCGGGGGCGGAGGTTGCGACGGCTGCGCCGGCGAGCTCCGCTCGCATCACCGTCGGCAAACTCCACGTGTGTGCTGCCGCTGCCGACCTCCACGATAGACGCTTCCAGCAAATAGACGAGGGGAGGAGCTCCGCGTGCCGCCGCCGCTCCAGCGAGCTCGGCGCGCTGCTACCGCACCAACGAGCATCCACTCGCCCGCCGCCACCATCGAGCTCCGCATGCCAGCGAGCCTCCACTTGCCCAAGCATAAAGATGATGTTGCATAGGAAGCGTATGTTGCAAGTATGTTTTTCATATGTTTCAATTGTTTCATATGCATATTTCAAGTGTTTTACATGAATGTTACATATGTTACATTAGCTATATAAAGATGTTTTAGAGGTGTGATGTATATGTTGCAGATGGGGAAGGGGCGCTGTAGAGACCGAGCGCGGCGGGGTATAGACGTGATGCGGGGGAAGAGGGTGCAGCAGAGACGGGATGCCGCGGGGTGACGCGTGGGCGCGGGTGCAGCGGGATGTGCGTAGGTGTCGTGGGCGTGTAACACCCCGGTGTTACGATCTTATTTAGCGCCGCAATTTAGGTCTAAGTAAAACTTCGAAACGAGTTTCTCGGATTTTTAATTTAAAACGTACTTAAGGTGATAAACGAATCCTGTGTGACGTAGTTTCGCGGATTCAAATAAATGTCCAGGTTAAATTTTAGTGCGTAAAAATATTTAGGAATTGCCGAATGATAATTCTGGCCGATCGATAACGAAAGATTCGTTCTATTAAATTAAGCATGAAAAGCAACATTTATAAATAAAATAAAATCCATTAAGAAATAGAACAATATATATATATATATAGCTTTAGAATCAAATTTAAATTCGAGCTTGCTAAAATTTTTCTGTAGCTAGACGTTGCAAATTGACTAAAGTAGTAAACCGTTATATATATATATATATATATACACGCACGTTACGGCAGTAACTTTAATAAAGAACGTGTAGCAGTGCTTGTTGACCTGCTCCTCTGCGGCCTGTCTGTCTTATTTTTTTATTGCTGCCGTTTTCACGGTGAATCACGCTGTTGTAAACCTTTAGCTTTGGCCTTGCCTCTCTGATGTGTCAGGCCACTCTGTCCTCTCTCTCACTGTACAGTTGACCGGCTATTCTCTTTCTTTCTTTTCTCCGCTGCGACCCGGTCTGTTCCGGTCTCTGTCTGTCTCCTGCGTTGCTTCCCTCTCTCTCACCCTTCCTTTTTCTGCTGCCATAAGGAGACGCTTTAGTTCCAGTTCAGCGTCGCCCGGCCACGGAGCGCAAGCGCACCGAGCCCCTGGCCTGCGCTGGTTCGCCACGCCGAGTCCGCGCGCAACTCCTCTCTGCCGCGCACGCCCTGCTCTCCGTCCGCGCGCGTGCTCCTCGGCCGCGTGCCTGGGCCCGCGAGCGCACGGCGCCCCTTTGCTGCGCCGGACCAGAGCCGGCGCGCTGCTCATCCCGTTGCCGTGCGCCCGCAGCCGCCAAGTCTGGAGCACCGCCGCGGTCCCACGCTGGACCGGGCCGCAGCGTCGTCGTGGCCAACCACCGACGCCAGAGCCGTTGCACCCGCGCGTCCTCTCTGCTATCCCGCGCGCCCGTGCTCCGCCTGCTGCCCAGAGCCGTCCTGCCGGCGCCGCGGCTCCGCCGGTCCGCGCACCTCCTTGCGCCGAGGTCCTCAGCACCTCGCCTCGTGCCACCACCGCCGTTTCGCCCGCGCCGCGACAGCTGTTCTCCAGCCCACCGTCGTCCGCGCAGGCCCGCCTGCTGACCGTGCCGGTGATGCGCCCGCGTCGCCCCACCTTCGCGTGAGCTCCACGCTGCGCCTGGTACGCCGAGCCCACGGAGTTCCTCGGCCGCTGCCCCGTCCGCGCCCGCAGTCCGCGCCGCTCCCTTCCCGTGTCCCGCGCGCCTGGTTCGCCGGTGCCTGGGAGTCCAGTCTCGATAGCCGCAGCCGCTGCGCCAAGCCGTGGGGCCATTCCGCCCTCGCCAGTCGTCGCGACCGCAGCGACTCCATTGCCGACCGGAGCTCCTCAACTCCCCTGCTCCGAGCGCTCCGTTCCTGGAATGAGTGAGCAAGGTGAGGAGGGTATATATCCAAGCAAAAGAATTATACGGTGTCCTTTTTGCTTAATACATGACTCAAGTAAATAGTGCCAATGTCCTGCGGGTGTATTTCGAGAAAGTACGAGGGCCTATTCGCAAATGTGCTGTGCACCTGCCAGCACTGGGCCGGCCTGGGCCGCTCGCCCTGCGCCTCTGCGGTCACGGCCTGCTCCGCGCAGCGTGGGCCGCCTCCTGCCCGCTGGGCCGGCCTGTGGCCTGCGCCTGGGCCGCGCTGGTCGTGCGCCACCTGGGCCACCGCCTGCCCGCCGCTGGGCCGGCTGATGGTCGGCTGGGCCTTGTGCGGCTGTTGGTTGTTGAGCTTGCTATTTTATTTAATATGGCTGAAGCTTGTAAATCCGTAATAAATTGAATAAAAATCATAAAATTGTGAAACCAATTTTGTTACATTTCTAAAATCATGATCTACCTGTTAGTATAATTTGTTCCCATAGCTTGCTAATATTCTTGGAAGCTATATAATTAATTTAAGGTACTTAATATTGTAAAAAGATAACTGGTAGGAATTGTTGTGATAAATTGATTCTAAAATAATTAGCTTGCTAAATAGATAACGATGCCCTATTCCGAATAAAGGTTAAATCGATAGAATGCAATAAAGAAACAACTTGGGTTTATATAACTAAAATAATTGTTGGGAAATAGTGTCTTATCCGACAACGTGTATATGTAGCCTAAGTACGGTCGTCGTTAGAACTAGCTCGTTCACTTGAGAGACGTAGAGCGTATTTATACGAGTCACGATTGCAGTCAGTTGATCATACCCTTGCATTTCATTACATTGCATATCATGATAGGGACGTCGATGGATCACGGGGTCATCGGGAGTTGCTGGAGAAATGGTGCTTTTGGAGATCATGTCGCCATGATGGAAAGCTAGCTTCTAATTATATTTTACCCAGGCAAGCCCCGGTGCATAACCCCTACTTTTCTGTAGTTTAAGTTATATTTGTGCATTAAGTTTTAAGGTGTTGAATGAAACCCACTTGCATATATATCTCTATCCTATGAGTCTTACTAGCATTATAGGATCGTGTAGATTGCTATGCTACAAGACTCCGGTAGAAGTCGGGTGATTGCATGTCACTCGTGAGCTATAGAAAATATGTTACTATATCATTATCACTTGAAAAATATAAATGGTGGAAATGATAAATGGTGACCGGGTAGGGATATGGTTTGGGTCTTGGTGGGTGTAAGAGGTTGTGTCGCCGTGAACACGGGGCATGGGTTGGTTACACTGCTTTCCCTGTCTGGTCGGTTAAGGACCGATTGTTGCATAAGATTTTAGGCAAGTCACAAACTTATTATCCCGAGCACATACTTGGGTATGGGCGCTTGAAAGACTTGTTGCTCTCTTGTCGCGGATCCGGCTCTTTTCAGACCGACTGTCAGGGTTTTATTTTGGTGGAGGAGGTCCTTGCACCGCACTGAGTCCGGGACTCAGGGGCGGGGGCTTGGAGTCCTAGTTTGGACGGGGACCTAGACACCCGGGATAGGAGAGTGATGGGTTGGTCCTGCTTGTGCCTTGGGTACAAGCGGGGCGTATGTTTTTGGGGTACCCAGCTGGGGGCATTGATTCGCGAATCGTCGGGCGATCCGGTACGGCTTGTCTACGGTTTAGCATCGTAGTAAGAACTGAAAGATGCAAGATGGAAGATGGAAAAAGGAAATCTAATTACTTACCACCTGCTTGAAAGTAGCACAACTGCTTACATAGAATGGTTAGTTAATGAACCAATGCGGCTATTAATAAAAATCAAATATAAGGACGCACGCTTAGTAATGCTTCCTGCAAATGCAATAAACCCACAAGCCAGATAGCCTTGCATATCCTTGGAGTCTTTTCTTTCCTCTTGTCGGGTAAGTCTTGCTGAGTACAATTGAGTACTTAGGGTTTTATTCTCCCTGTTGCAGGTGACAGGTGGATGCGAGAGCTGACTCTTGTGTGTGGATTCCTCCTGGTGGGCTCAGAGAAGATTTCCTCTACGCTGCGATCGTAGTTGCTATTTATAACTCTCGTCAAATGCTTTTATAAATGAAAGTTTCATAATCTGTTGTCGTAGTGTATATAGCAATACTTCATCATGCTATGAATAGATGTTTATTTCCGCTGTAATTCTGATCACTTGTTTATATTCCGCTGTCAATTTTAAATTGTTCATAACTTTGATAATATGATTTCATTCCGTTGTTATATTAATAAATATTATACTCTGATGTTGTATTAAAAGTGATGTAAGAAATGGTTCAGAATGATGTAAGCTTTATTCTCTCATTTGTGATCCTGATGGCGAAAATGTGAATTTTTAGGTTCTCCCCTGGGGTGTGCCCGACGGAACCGAGTAATTTAGTGTTCTCCCTCGAGTGCTTAGCGGAAGACAAGCACTCCTGTGAGGTATTAGATTAGACGGTTCTGCCACAAGGCGTGACGGACGTGCTCCTGTTTCTGTTACGCGGGGGACATGACGGGCGCGGTGGGTGCGCTTGAATGGGATCGGAGCTGCGTGCGGGGGTGGGCGTCCGTCCGGACATCCGAGTACTAGCTGCACCGATATATATATATATATATATATATATATATTGAAGATGCTCTAAGTTTAGTTTTCCCAAATTTTCTCTAAATTCACAGAACTACTTGGAGTATGCATCTTTTACTGGTGGCTCATTGAATCATCTTTTTGAATGTAGTACTATGAACAAAAGACACTAATTGCAGTTGATCTAGTTTGTTAATGCTTGTGCACTAGTATTATCTCTTCTTATTAAGGCAGCAGAGCTTGCCCGCTCCTCAGGCCATCCACGATAGTAGAAAATGTTTTCAGTTGATCTAGTTCGTTAATCTAGTTTGTTAATGCTTGTGCACTAGTAGTATCTCTTCTTATTAAGGCAGCGGAGCTCAGCCGCTCCTCAGGCCATCCACGATAGTAGAAAAAGTTTTCACCGTTCGATTCTGTTTTTATGATCTGAGTTCACCCTCACCGGCTTCTACTGTCAAAGGCCCACGTGTCACCGTACAGCTGGTGGGGAGAAAAATATCTCCCTCGCGTTGCTCTCTCCCATGGCGTCCGCCGCGCCACCCTCTGTCGTCGCCTCCGCCGCGCGCCGACGTTGGCACCGCCGAGCGCCGCCTCCGCCTCTCCTCCCTGCGGAGCGGATCCTCGGCCTGGGCGGTCGGCCTCCGGCATGGCCGTTAAGCCGACCTAGGGTTTCGGCGCGGAACCGGCCTTGGCCCAGGCTCAGCGGCGCACCGGCGCGGGTGGCCTGCTCGAGGAGGTGGAGTGCCGCGAACACGCCGAGGAGGTGAGTTCATCTGTAGATCGATCTCGTCTCCCCGTCCCACTGCTACCGGCTCCAACCCTAGGGATGTCTCTACCTCTCCTCTTCCTGCTCCTCAATCCTCTTCTTGATCCAGACATGGAGGACCGGAGGTCGATTCCGGCGAGTGGAAGATCAGCTCGGTGATGGAGGTGCCGATTAGGGTGGCCATCAGTGCGATGTGTCCCACTTAATCGAGGTATTCCTTGATTTCTATACAACTCTTCTTATAGAATAAGTATCTGTTATTATGTTTTCAAATAATGAGTTACGAGTCATGTTTCATTCTTTATTCCAAATCTTTAGACTATTTCCTAAGAATGATCCCATCAGAGAAAAAGGCAGATGAACACGCAGTGCAATAATCTTACAATGGATGCGAAGCTCTTGACTACATCACCAGGTAGTGGATACTAATAGAATAATGCAATAATTATTTTCCAGTCATTGTTTTCATTTGATTAGTGACTTAGTCTATTGAGGATGCATGTACTAAAACCGTCCATAGATTTTGTAGGCTTTTAGAGGAGATTGAAATTTCAAAGATAAAGTACGTAATGACGAGCACAGAAATTGAGGCTCCTATTATAGCGTCGATAGATTCCAGGTTTTTCACATGTACACCTTTTCGTTGTTTGCTTCTTTGGTACATAGTTCTAATTGTAGAATTGGTTCTCTTGCCGTTTCCTGAATAGGTTTCAGGTTTTTACATGCTCTCCATTTTTTGGTTCAACAATATATATTTGACCGTGACTCATGGACACAAGAGAAAGATATGTCATTTTGAGACTCCCAAAGTGTTCGGTGAGTAAATTCTTTCAGCTACAGATCATCAGAGTCACTAGTACAGAGACGGCCTTTACTCCTAGTGGGGAACCCCCTCTAGTCCCGGTTCCCCACCCGAGAGCAAGCATCCAGGACTAAAGGGGGGTCCTTTAGTCCCGGGTCAGGAACCGGGACTAAAGGGACCTTTAGTCTAGATGGGTACTAACACCAATAGATTTTGGGGCTTGTTCGGTGGCTTAAAGCCGACCCGGTTTTTCACATGGCTGTTTTTCCTCTCACATAATAGAAAGCCGAGCAGTATTTTTCTCTCAACAACAATCACTCATGGACACAGTATGTTTTTGAGATCCCAAAGAGTAAATTCTTTCAGCTTTTAAAGGTGCCCCTAACATGCAGTGAGGCACTCTTTAGTCCGGGTTGGAAGGTGCTCCTAAAGGACTAAGATTTTTTCCCGCTGGTAATTTTTTATTTTTTTTTCTTTTCTTTTCTTTTTTTTGTTTTCTTTTCAAAATAGGTTTTGAAGTCGTCGTATATGTAGCGCTAATAATAATATATTTATACTGTGGCAGATAGTATGTTTTCAGTTCAAGCACAATGAACGTATTAAATGACACAATTCAAGCATAGACTATATATATATATATATATATATATATATATATGCATGCATGCATGCATCATATATATATTTACATGCATGCTTGCATATGTGTATTTTACATTATATTATTTCATGTGCATATATTATAAA